AAATATAGTGTAAAAAATTGGGTTAGCGAACTTTTAAAAAAATTTATAGTTCGAAATAAAAAAATATTGTACATGATTTGTTGTAATTAATCGTTTATTTTTTTTTAAAATAAAAATAAAAAAAAAAGAAAGTTTGAACACAAATCTTTACATACATGGTAGGTTTGCTATTAAAGTAGAGTTACGAACATAGTATATCATATGATCCGTAATGTGATTTTAATAGCAAACCTCCCACATAGGCTTAGCGATATTTTAATAAATCTGAAAAATTTGGACTTTATAAATTTTATATATCGTCATGATTCTACAATTTCATATAATATTTATTTATCCGTTTCATTAAATTTAAATCTAAGAATCAAAACTCAAAATCGACAAAACATTTGTAACCAGATTTATGACATCTGTTTCAACCTGATTTTTTTTATCCTGATCTTTCGATTCTAACTGGATTTGGTATATCTATTTTTATTCGGACTTTCAAATTTGTTGTCAATTATCAATGAAATTAAAGTTGGGATATTTTTTTTAGAAATTCTTGTTAACAACCAAAGTATTGTCATTAATTAAAAGTAAATTTTCATTCCACAAATAGGACAAATATCTAATAAAAAATGAAAAAATAGAGGCGAATAGAAAAAATATCACGATACATCGAATCAAATCAATAATTATATATATATAGTAACCCATTTTGTTTCAATATTTTCTTTAAATAATAATCTTTTTTCACTATTTATTTTGTAAAGCAGTATAAAACTTGCTGCGGTGTATTTGATTCTCTAGTGGCAGAACTCTTAAATGCAATCACTTTCTTATGTATATAAAAATTTCTGAGACATTTTACTAATATTTTCACGGCGGAAATAAAAATAATGGTGGATCAAAAAGATTATGTTGTATGACGGAACTGTGAAAATAATTATTTCATGAAGCAACTGTAGAATATCATAATTTTGTGACACTGTGAAAATTCATGAAATAATTTAAAAAATGTATATAAAAAAATTTTTTTAATTTCTGCAAAAAAAAATAAATAGTTCCCTCAAACTTTCAAATGACTAAAAATAAAAAATATATATATTTATTAATTATTGGAAAATATCAGTTATTAAATTGATAATTCACAATAAAGAATGCCTTAAAACAATTTTCTGTATTATTTAAAGTTTTACAAATTTAAGGTTTCATTAAAATATTTCCTAATAATTTTATAATTTAATTACTTTTTTAAGAAGAAAAGTATCATGTGCTTAAAATCAACGAATACATTAGCTTAGAACGAATCTTAATCTTAATTTCATTTAGGTTATAACAATAAATATTATAATGATTCTAGATATTAAATAAATACCAAAAAATTTAATAATAATATTTAAAAAATGGGTTTAATGACGTTGAAATAATAAATAAGTAACATGATTAACCAACTCCTCAATCTCTACAAATCGTGACTATCCTTTGACTGTGAATAATTAAATAATATTTTTAATAGCATTTAAATAATCAAAGTAAATCTTTTTAACTTTAATTATAATTTCAAAGGAATGTAATGAGTCTGTCAAAATTGATATATAGTGTTAGCAAATTTGAACTTAGTAGTGAGCTGATAAATCAAATCCATATTATTATAATATAGCGAAGTGTAGAATCTACAGTTACATATAAAGTAGATGAATCTGACTATCAAGTCCATTCATATTTCTATAAGATGTTGTAAAGGAATTAAACCATTTGCATTCACAGTACAACTACACCTAGTACTATGGAAGCATATTATTTACATTGAAGTTATGTTTCTTGGAGATAACAAAATTCACTTTGATCTTTATTATAATCGGCTATCTAAAAATTTCATTTAAACATTGCAATTTCTTTTCAAATCATTATTTCTATGTTCACATCAGTGACCTCATCCACAACTCACAGTTCGAAATCATTCTTCTTGCAATGTGTCATTTAATTCATATTTACGAGTTGAGTTTATTGATTGTTCTTCTTGAAATGTCAATAGCATCAATTGAGTTAACGGAGGTATTTCTAACCAGTAGGAATATTTAAGAATGCAATGGTTTACATTTAAAATAAAAACTAAAATATCATCATTTCTTCTCATTTTTAGATAAATTCTTTTTCTTACTTTTGACTCAGTATTGTCTTTGCTCTTATCAGTATTTTGCAAGTGAGATATTTTCAAGAGTATTACACGATCTAAATATCTATTAGTAAAGAAAGATAATGCAATCTAGTTGGTAAAATAGAAGCAAGTTGCAAAGAAACCTAGAGTTCATTTGATATGATTACGCTAGAAATTTTATTGGTAAATTTGACATGGCTAATGGCCAATCATGTGCAGCTTTTTTCTTCTTTAAGAAATTTATTCATATTTTTTACTAATGTATTTTGATTGCAAGCTCGACTAAAATATTATTTTCCAAATATCACTTCAAAAAATTAAGGATATTTAGAAAAGAATATAAAGAGATAGGTATCTTAGGGTGGAAAGGATACGATAACCTTTGGAATTAATTCTAAAAAGTAACCATTTTGATAAATAGGTGCTGTGTTAGACAGCAAAACAAACAGTATGAATTAGCAAAAAGTTAAATTTTAATTAATTAATATTATTGATATTTTTAAAATTATATCTATCAAATTTTAAGTTATTCTTATCATATGAAATAAATTTGATTATTTAATAATTTAAAAACAAAAAAATATTAAAAGACAGATTTGATCGTCCTCCGCTATGCTTCAGATAATTAAAAATCTATTTTGAATATAATTTTTTTATATATTTAAGCTTGACAATAGTTTATATCAAATCAACTATTTAAGAACAAATTTTTACATTAAAATAGGTAAAGTTTTCTCATTTGCTTCAACTTACTTTATTCTTTTTCTTTTTATCTTTAGGGTTATATTGATTAAGAGCTTTCTCAATTGATTCGATTTTCTTTTTTTTTTGTTTTTATTTTATTATTATCTTTTCTTATAAGGTCTTCTTTCAGGTTTGATTATTTAAATTAGGTTTTTTCATTAATGGTTTTATTAAATTTTGCTTAAAAAAAATAATAATATTTAATCTTTATGTACATTCATTCTCTACCATTCTTGAAAAAGTATAAAGTATGCACTACATTTATATAATGGTACTTTATTTTCCAAATAATTTTTTGACACCAAAAATTTCATAATTAAATTCTTAATAACGTAATGCGGCTAAAACAACTCCATTCATTTCGCATAAATCACATGCATCCCATAAATAGATACAAATGATACTTAATACGCTAGCCCATTAAGCAAATGAATGATGTTTGTTTAGTTTGCCTAATGCGGTCATCACTATTAAAAAATACGTAAATTAGAGAAATTTTCATTACCATAACTTTTTATTTTGCTTTCATAAGATATAATTATTATAGGTAAATATATAAATTTATTTAATTAAAAATAGAATTGACACGACTTGTAAATTTAAGGAATCGATTAATTAATATCAAGAGTAATGAACACAACAAAGAATTTTTTTATTTACGAAATATTAATTTTGAATTTGCGAGACAAACATTTAATTTTAGACGAAAATATTTGTATCCATTTGCAATCTTATACTATAGTATAGCTATGTGTTCTTCTTATTATGATTATGTAATCTTGATAATTAATTATCGAATTCAGGATATGGTTTGTGTGTTTAGATTAATTTTTTTACATTAGTCAAACTTAGAATTTTTTGTAACCAAACAATGTGAATTTTGAGTAAATATTTTAATATTCAATCCTATCACTTTGTTAAACTTTCTAACGATAAGTTTAAAGCAAATAGAAATGAAATATATCGGACCAGTTGAAAATAAAGATAAAATAATATATATTACAAAATACAAATATATATAGATGAAATAATTTAAAATAATAAGGAATTAAAGGAATTAAATAATAAGTAAAAATACAAGAAATAAAAAAAGAAATTACAAATGCATTTTTTAAATTCAAACAGAACTTTTTCTTTTTGTCTTGCGGCTATAATATTGAAAAGATCATTGCATAAATCTTTTGAATTTGTCAAGAGAGTGTCATGCGCCCGTCTGACTCTCTCTAGTAGGTGAAATCTGAAGTTCAGATGAATTATCTTTCGGCCGATATAGGAACCAATGATTGTTATAAAGGAAAGTATTCCATATTGAAGTTCTAGTTCTGCTATATAAGACTATGCTCTGGTTATATATCCAGAGGGCGTCACCACAATATCAATTTTGTCAAAGTTTTCACGTCAGGAGAGCACACCTGCAAGCTCTTCCATGACGTTATGACCTAATTGCATTTCATTTTATCGATAATACATGTACTTTCGATACGATACTATTTTTTGGCCAATTTTTGCATTAGATTGCAAATTCGTACCCTGCAAGCTTCTCCCAAGATATCAATTCCAACATCTCCAGACCCACTAAAAAATAAAATATAAAAAAAATGAGAATTTGCGCCATTATCATTGACAATTAAGAACTTTCAGAATCGTTGACCACAACGTTAATTACGTCATCAAAATCCTTTTGAAAATGACGTATAACAGAAGAACGTCGGAAATAGGAAAGAAAGTTTACGGCCAAAACTGTGACCACGAAGAGCTTTTGATTCCCAATTTAGCACAAAGTGGTGGCGTAGCTAAAGATGACGCCTACAGCATCCAATGTATCCGCAGTTTTATTTTCTAATTCCTTTCCTTCCTTTACAAGATGTATTAGATTTACATAATCCTGTTCTATTATGTTCTTCCTCTTCTTTTATCGGTTGTGACATCAGGAATAAAAGCAAAAAGTAAAATTAGCAATGGATCAGCATAAATTTTTAACGCTTATTGTTGACACCAGTGGTTTTCAATTTTAGCTTTCTAACTTCTTTTCTATTATCGTTATTATATTCTACAGGTCCGAAAGTTCTGAGAAAGACAGATTCGACGCATTTTACTTTTACGTCTAAGAAATTTTCATAGCATTGATCTTTTCTCTGCAAAATTTGAGAGAGTGACCAGTTTTAAACTCAATGTCATTAATATATTACTAAAATTTTCAATCGCTTCAATAAATTCTTTTAAATAATTGTTTCTGGGAAACCGTAAACGTTCAACAAAGGTACAATGGACTACTTCTGCAGTAATTTTAAAAGTAACGAGTTAATTAAAATTGTATTTGATGATGGACTAAAGTCGTAATCAAGCAGAAGTCCAGAAGGAAAAGAAGATGAAATTTTTTCTTGTCTGATATATAATACCCTAAAAGGGAAGACATAAAAAGTCGTCGTTTCTCTTGATCTGAATCCATTCGATATACCAATTTCCTTTGAACAATATCTAAGTTAGGTCAGAAATTGTCATGAGGTTAGGATTTAGCATTGAATTGAAGCTTCATTTGGTTGTTTTCGGACTAGACTTTAATAGGATTATGATGTGACTATGACAGAAGTTCTACTTTTCTTGAATGAAGAATTTTTGTTTTATGTGCTGATACGTTTGCCTTCTTTAACCTTTATACTTGTGGTATTTATTTGCAGGAAAATTAGTTTTAGGCATAATATTCATGATCGAACACTTTCTATCTTAAATCTTTCGTATTAAATACTTCCTTGCCTCATTATCTTGAAAAATGCTAACAGACTTCTTTATAGATTTGAAGCCTAAATTTTTCTTCAAAGAACATAAATTATCATCATTTTTTTCATTTTTTGCTTAGTAGCTGAATAATTTGTGGACGTTCATATCGTTCTTTAATCTAGAGAAACTATTGCTTGAGAACATTCGGCAATTGTTGCAGTTGAACTTAAGTTTTTGGCGTAAATCACTTTTGCAAAGACCTAACTTCTGCGAAATAAAAAATCTTATTAAGTGAAATGCGTTATCGATCAAAATAAAATTATTTTAATTTGAAAGATAGTTTTAAGTTATTGATAATCTCACAACGAAGGTAATAAAATAAAAATTTAAATCGGAAACTGAATTAGAACTTTGAAAAAAATAAAAGTAGTAAAAGTGGAGAGAAATAACATAAAATTAATATTATTAAAGAATCTTTTTAGAAAAACAGTTGTTTTTATTTCATGGTTGAAATTTAATAAAAGTATTTAAATAATTTAAATATAAAATCACTACTTCTCCACCATTATTTGTAAGTGTAAGGAAACTTTCTAGAATAAAGTAAATATCATCATCGGACCATAAATTATTTATTTATAACGTGAAGACTACAATTTAAAGATTTTGAAAATGAGTATTGTCGTTGTGGGATAGTGTGTGAGATTTTCTAGCCAGCTATCATCGGGTACGATTCCCACAACGTGCAATATATTGGATTTCTGTTAAGGTGAATGATTTCATTCCATGGGAATGAATCCCCATGTAATAAGCCGATGGCATTACCTTGGGAGCAAGATGTCAGCAGTTATTCCAATATCAACTCAAAATTTTTATATTATTTTATTTTTTTATTTTAAATGTTTCAATAACTCTACATAAATAAAAAATCCTAACTTGTTCTGCGCGTCACTATATTCTTGCATGGCGGATTTTCCTTATTAAAATTTAAAACTTTATGCTTTTCCTCGCAAAAGTAAAAGAATTTTTTTTTTAAAAAAAAAAAAGAAGTTATTTATCAACGAATAAAATGAGAAAGAAAGAGAAATTTGTTTTTAAAAAAAAGAACAAGTTTCTTTTTATTAATTTTTTTTTAAAATAATTTACTATTTCTTCTTTTTTCTGGAGTGTTGGAATTCAGTTACACTTGATTAACCATAATTTAAAATTCTTTTATAATTAATATATGAATCGCAAAAGCAAATGAAGTAAATGAAATAAACAAAAGTTATGAAATTCAACATCTAATGGTTTTAGAAAAAGAAAAAGTTCAATCAAGCTGAAGGATATTCGATACTTTTAGACCTGAAGCGATCGAATCTGAAAAATAATACCAACCAAAAGTAAAAGTAAAAATAATTACAAATAAAACTGGCAAAAAATATCGTATCATAGAGCAAATGTAGAAAAAAATTAAACTAAAAATTAAAGTGTACTAATAAGCTAAATAAAAAAAAAATAAAAAGTTTAGTAAAAAAAAAAATTAATGGACAATGTGTGCATTAAAATCAGTTTCAATTCAAAGATATTGTTTCAAAGTTTCGATTAATTTTTTATTGATTTAAACATAAGATTTTAGACCATCTTCAAGTTAATAAAATTATATTAAAAAAATATGTATAAAATGAGACAATAAAATCCAATTATATTTACAAATTTACATTTGAAATAATATATTAAATTTTGATATTAAGTATATAATAAAATGCAGCTAAAAAAATAATTTAAAGACAAAATGGAAAAGTTAAAGTAAAACTTTTAATATTTTAATGCTTTAAAATTTCATATAAGTTTCATTATTTACAATAATTATTTTCTTAAGAATAAAGTTAAATATTATAACATTCAAAATTGTATATATATATACTGCAAAGTTTAATGAATGTAATTATGGCCAAAATTTTGTCGTCAATACTTAAGATAAAATAATCCAATTTAGTTATCAGAGTTTTAACTTGTGAAAGCTTATCTTATCTTGAACATTAAGAAAGGTCACAAAAGGTTAAAGATTTAGGCAATAGTACAGGAGTCATTTGATTTGGCAGGATAGTTATTGATGTGTTGAGTTTTTAAAGATTCGGGATAGATCCTTATTAGGGAATTGGGTAAATTTGGTAAGCTAGTTTATTGGAGATCAAGTATTGTTAATTTTCGGTATCTTTGTAATCCTCCTAGGGAATTTAATATGTCATTCTGATTAAATTCCGTAATCGTTAAGCTTTCAATAGTATCATCATAAATAATATCAGACATTCCGACATTTGATTCTAATTCTTCTACATTATTCTGACCAGCCAAATTCGGAATTATTTTTATTTGATTCACAACTATTTATTTGATCATTTATCTGATCAAAGTATCGAGATGAATTATTAATATTAGAAGAATAATGAAGATTTAATTCACATTTATTTACATGATCACTTTCTTAGATATTTGTTTTTATAATAATTAAATTTAATTTATCAACTACTTGATTTATAACTGGACGCTTATCTGGTTCATGATCTCAGCATTCTAAGATATAAAATTTATGGTTTAAAAATTACTTAGAAAAGTATTTTATTTTATAAATTTAATTAATATATTTACCGAAATATACATTTACGTTGTTGGCTTGGTATCTGTAAACTTAAACGATAAACTTTTAATTCAATCCGTCGAATTAAATACAAGACAATAT